TTAAGCTTCTAATTTTTAACCTTTTTTTTTTTTTTTTAACTTATACTAATCAGAAGTAGGATAAACTATCCAAGTAATTTTTCGAGATGGAGTTTCCTCAGTGACATAAAAATGAGATTTGTCATGATAACTATTCATTATATATTGCGTTTCAAATTACTTTTTAAAATATGTTTAGATTGAAGAAACATTAATTTGATTTTTTTATATGTTTTTGAAATTTTTTAATATATTATATATATAAACACTTCAAAAATCATAAATCTATATTTTTTAATCCAAACAAATATTTATAAAAACACACGTATGGCATTACCTAACAACACACACTTTATCATTACATATTTTAACATCATGTGAAAATTTCTAACAACTATTTCCATGAAAGCAAACATAAGCATATTAAAGATGAAAATAACCCCTCCAGGCATCAACAATTTTTTTTCTGCGTGTGACAGTAAGACAAAATATAAATTTTAAAATATTCAAGTAATAATCATCAATATTTATTATATGGATCCACTTTTACTTTTAAAAGAAAAACACACATAAAAATAAATAGAAAAATCACATCACATTTCATCAAACGCGATAAAAATATTTCTACCTAAATTTTATTTTATCTCTCTTTATGTCTATCCTTTTCGTACATATGTAATCACTACTTGAATGCTATTAAATTTCTATTGACAAAGAATTTTGGAGAATATAAGGTAGAGAATAAAAAATCAAACAAGATAATTCAAATGATATGAAAAATAAAATAGGAGAATTGGATTGATTGATGAAATGAATTTGTTATGTATGACTTGTTTATATATGAATATAATAAAAATTTTGTGGTAACAAATCAAATCAAATTACAAATCATAAAATATTTGATCTTCTTAATTTTCTCTAATTAGAATTTTCTTATAATCTTATTTGATTTCTTCACTTATTCGAACTGTTCTGTAATCTTCTCTGCATTATATTCTTCAATAACGAGATTCAGTCAAATGCAGAATATTGGGTTAGTCCTGGTCATGATCATATGACCTAACATTGGGTTTCTAGCAGTAAAAATAAAGAAGAAATTAATTAAATGGATAGGTTAAAATATTAGGGTGGTGGGTGCGAAAATGTGAATGACACTCTGTTAAGCTCGGATCTCAAACGGCAAGAGAAGACTCTCTTTAGACCAAAAATATGTGAAGTCTAATAGGAATGGTGGGGGGCCTCACTCTTGCTCCTCAGCTCTCATTTTCTAATGGAATAGAGTCTTTGAAATCAGCACAGAACTGACACGAGCCATATGGGGAGAAAGTGTCTCAATTTTTTAACTTTAGAGAATTTTTGAGAGTGAAAACTGCAAAAAGTGGAAAAACATGAAGGAAAAAAAAAAGGTAAAATTCAAAGCGAAGAAAAAAAGCATTTCAAAGAAGTGATAAAGGGTTAGAAATTTGTGTCCCTAAAGTCTCTTTAGAGACCTATTTTTAATCACATGTCCATGAATGCAATAACAGGGATCCTAAGTTAAAAACCTTATCCTTATCATCTAGTACTAATTTTCACAGTTGAATTATGAGGAATTTTACCGTATCTGGTTCGTGTTTTGCACATTTTATCAACTCTGTAAGGATCATCACCACCCCATTAATATCAAAGTGTTTATGCAGTTTTTCATGATTAAGTACCCATGGTTTTAATGGGGTCGTGGTCGGTAGTAAATATACTAGAGCTAGGGTTTCTATACGGAACACTTCCTTCCTGCTTCACGTTACATTCACCATATACACTTGCTCTTGAATGTGGCCAGCAAACCCACAACTCCATCATTTTCAAATAGGAGAATAAAAATACAAGTACACCTAGAGAAAAGCAAAATTGACCCAAATTCTTCGCGCTATATGAGATCAAAATTGGTGAACAAAGGATTCAACTAACAAAACCTAGTCGAGGGGCATCTGGTGAGGGAAATGAAAGCATTGGACCAACTGTTTGGAAATCTTGCTGCTTGTATGACCCCTAAAGTTGCTCTTGACTTGCAATAACGGTGATTCAAACTTACTCTTGCACCATTCCCTAGTAAAAACTAATGATGGTTAATTTTGTTAAAGACTTGTAGTGATGTACTTAGTTTCATAATCACATTTAAAACCGCCTCTAGCTAATTACGTACCCTTGATAGAACTTAATTGTCTTCCTGATTAACCATGCCATCCAAGTCTAGCAGTTATTACTGAATGTTAGAGACAACTTGTACTTTTAGAAATTTTACATTTACAAAAACCTAAAGGAGACGCTCCTAAAAGTGAAACAAAAGCAAAAGGACAGCTCTTTTTGTGATTCTTTGGCCAGTAAAAAGACCACCCTTTAATCTCCACACCATAGATTTTGGATGATTTTGAGAAGATTTTCTAATTTCATCATTAAATTCTAACTTTTTCGATGAGAGGGACTGGGACATTTGGGTACAGGTGTCACTAAAATGCAAGGCATGTCTTGGATTTATTATCTTTTTCTTTTTATATATACGTACATATCATAGGAAATTTTAGATTCTCCTCGCTGCCTGAAATAGTTATTTGCGAGGGAAAATTTGTACACGGGTCTTTTCTTCGCCTGCCAGGCTGGCATTGACAAAATTCAATCCAACATGACGCGCAAATTAGACCACGATGTAACTAAACTTTTTCCTGCTGTGTAAGATAGTCGAGCAGAGATAGCTAAATTAGTGGTAAGCATTTCCTTTGGTTCAAATCTTGCCTTCTCTATCTTCCGTTCGACAACCATGGGGCTTGATTTTATTAATTTGGCAAGATAATCTAACGTACGCGTCGATTGGATTAGAAGGATATCATTTCAGACAATTCCAAAACAAAGGAAAACTGGCCTCAGCGAAGTCTGATCTTTTTCTCTCCTGTTTGACAAAAATAAAAAAGAAGTGGGGAGGATGCTTTAATCACTCCTGAACTAGATCGTCTACTTTATCATCTTGCTTGTCTGTTGTACCGAAAGAATACTGAGTTTTAATTATCTCAATGCTTAAACAGTTTATAAAACATGATACTCTCTAATTATTTCATTCATTTCCCTCTTTTTTTATATATATGTAAAAAAGATGTTCGAACTTGAACTTTTTATAGGAAATCATGGATGGCACTAGTAATAGAACATATGATATTTGAGTATTGTTTTAGTTTATTCCCATCAATGAATCGAAATAATTTGATGATCGGCGTTCAACATGGTGTATTTTGAATCAGAACAACGAAAGGTGATAAGGATCCATTTGTAATTTCATCATGTTTTCTAAAGCACAACTATCTTACGTTTTTTTTTTCCTTTAAAAAACAATAAATGGTCAAGTCATACTTTGTCTTGAAAGCAAAATATATAACATTTTAACCCAAATTTTTTTTTCGTTTTGATATTGTTTTCTATCTATTGCTTTTAATGAAAAAAAAAACCAATTTATCTTGAAATCTATTATTTTCTCAAGTAAAAATATAATTATTTTAAAATTACAACCATCAATTATTAAACATTACTATTACAAATAGCATTTTTAATACACAGCAAAACAATACCAGAAATGCGCGCACATCGACTTGAAATGCTCGGTTAGTTCATCAACTAAACTTCCATTCGGAAAACTAACCAAATTTTTTTTTTTTTTGGTAAATTTATCGAATCGCGCTCATTGTCATGATCGAAATTTTTTGGTCCGGCCCTGTCTCCACTTGATATCCTGTTAGGGAAAGTAAGCGGTGCAATATTTCATCAAATATCTCTACATTTTTTTACAATTTATTACTTTGATCCATGACATATTAACATGGTGGTATTCATAGAAAGTTTTATAAGACAGTGGCAAATTACGGCAACCTTTTAGGCAACCAAATTTAATTGCCGAGGCTACTCGGAAACAGCTTTGCCAAAGATGATTTTTATTGTATAAATCAATTCCACAATGTTTCGACGGTCGATGGCATCATATAAAATATGGAAAAATTTCCAATACTCCACAATCAAAAACTAATCATGGAACTTCCACCAAAGTCGAACCACATGCATAACATTAAACTAAAATAAATAAAAAACTGTAAAGTATTGTAGGAAATAGTATCTTACGAATCAATATCATGTTATCTTAATTTATACTAAAATTAAACTCAACAAAATTGGCACACATGATTCCTCTTTTAACTCCATTCTCAATTAAAGCCCATCATTTTTAGTAACACTAACTCTATGCACAAATAGTAGTATTTTGGATTTTGAGAGAGAATTTCAACTACAATATTGGTATCAATTATTTGGTATTTGGATTATCAAATCGTTAGGAGTATTTGAAGATAAACAAGAAAAACTTTGTAAAAATTGTAGAATATATATATTTATATAGGAAGCGAAAAAGTTGCCATTAGTGGCACAGAAGGTCTAAAATGAAAATGTTCCCAACCTTAGTTCCCACGTACTCTCCCATCAATGGGGCGCTAGGTGTTAAAGAACTGTCCTTGCGCAGGCAATAAATCCCTACAAAATCTTGTAAATGCCCTTGTATTTTGCTGCAACTATTCCATTTCTATGTGATGCTCATGCCTATATTGCCCCCCTCTCCTTCTCTTTCTCTCTGCCTTTTACCCTAAAAAGAGGCACTCATTTCCCCTTCATAAACCCCTGCTTGGAGTAGGAGTCTTTTCAGCCCCAAACTCTGATAGACTGTGTGTGTGAGAGAGAGTGATAAACAGATAGAGAAATACAGACAGACACTTCATCTATATAGGTTTTGTTTTGTTTTTTTTTTTTTTTTTTGTAGAAGACCATTCTTAATTCGTTCTTCAATTCTTTGATATAAAAATCTGTTTATTGTTCTAAACCACATCTGAAATCTCTATAAAAACCCAAAAATCCTTGCTTTGATCACCCCTTTTGCTGTTTAATGAACTTTATTGTTTAGATATACAACATAGAAGGAGAAAAGAGTGATTTTTTTTGGAGAGGTAGCATTAAATATGGCACCAAGTTTTGATTGTGCGGTTTCAAACCTTCTATGTGCTGAAGATAATAATAGTATTTTAGATGATAACGATTACTGTGATGCTACAGTGGAGGAGTTTGAGGCCACGTGGCATCACGGGCATAATCGAATCCAGAATCAAAATGGTGGTGGAGATGGGGGTGGTTGCCAATGCAGAGTGAAGAGTGTTTGGTTTTGATGGTTGAAAAGGAGTGTCAGCATTTGCCTAATGGTGATTACTTGAAGAGACTGAGAAATGGGGACTTAGACTTGGGGGCTAGAAAAGAGGCTGTTGATTGGATTGCAAAGGTGGGTTCTTTTCTTTTCATTTTTTAATTTTTGACTGTTGGTTGATATTCTATTAGATGTTCTAAAACGGCGATTTTATGGGATTCATTTTATTTATATTTTTCCGCATTGGTTTCTCAAAGTATGAGATTTGATTTTCTAAAAGAGGAATTTTTTTCACTGTATGGTATATAGGACTTCTTTTCATTTTTTGGATTGGTATATTTTGATGATTACATTGATATCTATTGCCGGATATCTGGAGTCAGATTTCTATTTGCTATATATTTGATCAATGTAAAGCTTTTGTTATTGTGTGATTGTGTTATGCGATTCGTTGATATCGGTGTTGTCATTTTGAGGCGTTTGATGAAATGGGTTGTGGTTTTGTTCTTTTTGTTTGATGTTCTTTTTTCGCATCCATCCAATCTGAAGTGGGTTTGGTGGGTTCCCTTCCTTTTCGCTTTTTTGGGGCCGGCGCTGATTTGTTAATTGCATTTATATGTGTTATTTCCTATTTTTCTTAGAAGATTTTTTCTGCATTTGTTTTTGTCTTCCCTTCCCTTTGATTAGCTTCACACCAATGCTGATTATTGTTTATGAGTTTTAGTTTCTTTTGGTTCTGTTCATTTATTTCGATTCCTCAGTTAAGCTTTTGTTGATGATCAATACTGATGCTCTTGTTACTCAACAGGTTCATGCCCACTTTGGTTTCGGACCCCTTTGTGCGTGTTTATCAATAAACTACTTGGATAGATTTCTCTCTGCCTATGATTTACCTGTACGTTGAAATCAATCAATCATGGCATTGTTGTTTGGCATCTCTTTTACAGTGTTTAATTGTGTACTGCACCTAATTCCATTTGCATTTAATTCAATCTTGCTATATGTGATCTGTAGAAGGGCAACGCCTGGATGATGCAGTTACTGGCTGTGGCTTGTTTATCTCTTGCGGCCAAAATGGAGGAGACTGAAGTTCCACTGTCTCTGGATCTACAGGTATAGATCCATCGGGATTTCTTTTTGTATTACCTGTTAAGTTCATCTAATAAATTTAAGGATCCTGATATAATAGGTGGGCGAATCAAGTTTTGTATTTGAAGCAAGAACTATACAAAGGATGGAGCTTCTTGTACTGAGCACATTGAGTTGGAGAATGCAAGCAATTACTCCTTTCTCCTTCATAGACTATTTCCTTAGCAAGATCAATAATGATCAAACCCCCCTCGGTCTTTAATCTTGCAATCAATCCATCTCATACTGAGCACAATCAAAGGTCCATTTCTCTCTCTCATGCACACATTGGCAATGCACCATCTACAATAATTTATTTCTCCCCGCAGTTGAAACAGTTATGATGGAGATATTTGAGAGAGGGTGTCTGATTTTTTTGGTGGGTGGGAATTTAATGCAGGGATTTACTTCTTGGAATTTAGGCCTTCTGAGATTGCAGTAGCAGTGGCAATAGCTGTTGTGGGGGAAACCAAAACAGTGGACGCTGAGCAAGCAATATCTGTACTCACTCAACCTGTACAAAAGGTAAAGTTGGTGCTTGTGGTCCAAAACCAATAAAGGGACATAAATGATGTCTCTTTTTTTGGTTATATCATTTTGAATTTGATTACTTACCATGTGTGATCAACTGAGAAATGTCAAATATGAACCATTGAATATGTTCTTATCTTTTTATAATTTTGTTTTTTTGCAGGAGAGAGTGCTTAAGTGTTTTCAACTGATTCATGATTTGTCATTGCTTGGTGGACCTGCTAAGGACACAAGTACTTCACTCCTATCAGTGCCCCAGAGTCCCATTGGGGTGCTGGATGCTGCATGTTTGAGCTACAGCAGTGATCACACAACTGTTGGGCCATGTGCAAACTCTTCACGCAATGCCCCGGATGCTAAAAGGCGGAAGCTAGACAAACCCTGCGAAGTGTAGTTACAAAATGAAAGTTGGATTTTTTTTTTTTTTTATACAGCTTCTATTTGATTTTGTCACGTAGGTGTTTTTGGTGTGTCTGTGACCTGTTGCCAAAGCAAATACTCCGAAAACCAACAAAAGGAAGGCAGAAAATGACGGGAAAGATGGAGGAAGGTTAAAAAGGAAAAAGAAAAAAAAATCTGAAAAAGCTTTATAAATAGAGTTCAATAAGTTGGGTCATGATTAGAGGATGGAGGCAGAATGGGATCAAAATGTTGCATGCACTTGGCATGAGAAGTATAGTCACTGCTGTTAAATATTAGACTTCTTAACAGCTACAGACAGGAAGTAGAGGAAAAGATTTGAAAAAAAAAGGTTTTTTTTTCTTTTTGGCGAGATCCAGCTTGCCATAGGATTTGGTTATTTGGTGAAAAGAAAATTTCAAAAAGAAAAAAAAAGAAAAAAGAAAAACGAAAAAAGGTAGCAGTATGAGATAATATAATAGTACTTGCAGGTATTTCCGCTGGATATTATTTTCCAGTTTGTTTAATCATTTTTGTTTTTTAATTGAGAATTGCAAGAAAAGGAGATATATGGTACAAAACAATCATATGGACTGATGAACAGTATATAAGATGTTCTTGTTTTTTCAAATGTAAGGTAACTTACTGAATTTGGATGGTTTCTGTTTTCTCTGGGTTATTTTATTGCTGTCCCTGAACTGATTGTCGATTGAGTATCTTGGGTTTGATGTCATACCTTTGTTTGACCGTGTGTCTGTGTTAGACCATGAGTTTCGTTGGATTTGGTAATTAAAAAAACGTTTACTACTCGCAAGATACTCTGGGAATACAATATAGTAATGATTGCATAACGACCGTCCGAATTGTGATGTGAGTGAAATTTTGTTAAATATATCTTGAACAGTAACTGAGAAAATGTTACCCATCAGATTATAGTCTTCCATATCATCATTAAAAGCTTGCCTCCGTCTATTGCCCTGTTGCAGGCTTCAATTTCAGTTCTAATCCGAAAATTTGATTAACCAAAGAGTTTCGGTTTGGATTAAAGGACTTAAGGTCTCTTTCACTAAAAAGGAAGAAAACAAAGAGCAAAGGACCAGAAAAATGGTGGAGGCACCTGCGACTGAAAAGGTTGACCACAGGAAGTACTGACTGCCCATGCCAAAAAATGATAATCTTGTAATTAAAAAGCTGGGAATGGTTTCTACTTGATGTAAACCAGAAAATGGGCCGCACGTGGGTCCACATCATCACCTAATAAAGAGCTTCTGGGGATTATTCCTGACATACAGACATTTTTAACCAATTTGAAAAATCAATCTACCAATCACATGGGACGTTCTGTGTGCTGTTATAAGTATGTAAAAAAGAAGAGGAAATTTGTCCGAGCAAAAACCAAAAGAGATAAAAAGATCGCATCAATTTTCATTTCTTTCTTTTTTTTTTTTTCACGTACTGAGAGAAATATGATTGCCTTCTTTTGTCCTTTTTTCCTTTTTTTGGCCCGTTAGCTATAGCAATGTCTCAGCTCCGGTGTTTTCTAATCGAAAATTTGAAGGATTACTCCTTTTTTTTTTTTTTCTCAATAGAAAAAAAATAAAATAAAATCCAAACCTCTGGAGCCAGCTCATTGCCCAAAGCCTTCCACTCGTTGAATGCTAAAACCATCCTTATTGTCAAAATTGTTTGCAAACTTTTCAAGCCATCTTTTATAAAATATGTATTATATGTGTTTGGTAACGTAGTATATGTGTTTTTTTAAAAAAATATGTTTGAATTGAAAAAAAAATATTTTTTGGTGTTTTTTTTTTATGTTTTTTATATCAACATATTAAAAACGTTAAAAAAAAATCAAATGGATTATTTTTCAAGCGTATTTGAATAAATATTGTCAAACGCAGTTTAAATTTATTTCATATGTACCCTTGGTAATGTCTCCATGGCACTAAACATTTTTTTTCTTTCAAATTAAAAAGATTCCTAAGAAACCATGCACAAAATACCAGAGCACGGTGAGAGTCAATTGTCAGAATTTTTCCCAAATTGAGAGCCTTCAGAAAAGAATAGAGGGAAAAAAAAAAAAGCATACAAGCATTATTGGATTGATAAATAAAATAGCACTTCAATAAGAGTAATCGGAACAGGATGGCCATATAAGTCAAAACAATTTGTAACACTGATTTACTACACAAACAGAATTTCCACCTATGATGAGCACAGACAAGATGATACAGGTGTGAATCATCAAACAAAGAACAGAAGCAACAAGGCAAATGATTTTTAGTTTTTCGATATTCAAGGCAAATTAATATGATCATTACCAAGCAACAGAACAGTGAACCAGGTAAATAATGCCATACACATTTTATTTATTTATTATTATCATTGGTACCAGACACATGGTTAATTACACAAAAACGAGGACTGCACTGATGGAGAGTTCTTGATTCAAGTTGTAGCGTAGTTAAATTTGAACCAGGAAAGACAGCTCGCGGTTAAATTTGATTTTTTTTCTCTTTAGAAAATGGACTAGCGGCTTTATTAAATAATTAGAGAAATAACACTAATAGAGGTGGCCGTTGAGAAAATGGCACCTCGTGTTGCACCAACTTAAATTTGATTGGCAAATAAATCTGACAGTGCTGGCCTAAATGAGCTAAAAGAAAATGCATTTGTTAATGCAAATAATACCTAATGTTTTACCACTATAACCCGAAGGCTAAAATTTCAAATTTTGGATTAGATTATTCACAATTACATAAAATAACAAAAATGAAAAAATATTTTATTTTTTAAAATTATCCTTATTTTAATGAACAAAATTAGAGTTCCGATAAAATTATTTGTTTTAAGGTCGAAGTTACATGTAAACAATATATTTTTAACTTTTACAAGTCAAACTAACTAATTTAATTACTAAATTATCAAGCTAGCGATGCTAAAAGGTAAAGGATGAATGTAAAATTTGAATCTTCATACTCTAAGATTCTATAGAATGCTATTATTCTTAAACGTAGATTTCATAGAATAATTAGAAGCTTAAGTATAGAGTTACAGTGGATAATAAAATAATACAAAAAAAAAATCAATTTATTATTATTTGTAGAAATAAAAAAACTGTAGAAACAAAAGTAAAACTGTTTCTTGTCTAGATGATGTGATGAGATAGATTTGTCATATTATTCCTTATAGGTTACACAATTTTAAGCTTCTAATTAAAATAAAATTTAGTTCTACATTTGAGTCTATATATATTTAATGAATATTGTCTTAATCTATTTTACCTATTTGTCACGGATTGATTTTTTGTAGTAGAATAAGCTCATATTTGTATTTTTTTTTAATGAATGAAAAATTTCATTTGAAAAAAAAAGTGTAAAGTTTGGAGAACTATTGTTAAAGAAATGGGAAAGTCTTAAATTGAATTTGAAAGCGACCTTTTTCCATGGTTTTGTGTTCAGTCTGCTGCAGAATCGGCATGCCTTATGCATCAGCAATTCGGATACGGCTTATACATTAACAAATCAGGCATTGAACCAGAGGGTTCCATGCCAAATCTCGGTCCGTGTGAAAAAAAAATATAAGTATATTTTTTTATATGTTCGTAAAAAAATTGTCTTCAAGTCATTTGAGATATTATTACGAATTATCATAAACATTTTATACCTTTGTATAATATTGAAAGTATATTTATTTTGAATATTTGTATAACATTGCAAGTATGTTTATTTTGAATATTTGTATAACACTAACACTGCAAGTATATTTCTTTTGATTGTTTGTATAATATTGAAAGTATATTTATTTTTAATATAATAAAAAAATTTGTAATGGGAATAAATAACATTTTAAAAATAGTGATTTCCTCGCTATATATACAACATTAAAAATCAATTCTCTCAATAAAATTCCATTTTTTCCAACTATACAAGAAAGATATGTTTTTTTAACAAAAACATTATATACAAGGTTAAATACATCTCATGCTTCTGTATTATATCGAAAATAATATTACAACCTATCTATTCAGATATAATTCATTACAAATCTTATATTATTAGAAGTTGATACAAAACAATCATTATGTTAACTTTTTTTTGTTAAATTGAACAATTTCTACTAGTTGAGTAACGTTTGATTAATAAAATGGCAACACGTGTCAACTTAAAACAAAAAAATATAATTTTCTTTAAAACTTAAAATAATTATTAATTATTAAAAAATCATTTTTAATGATTTTATAATTATTATTATTAAAGAATTTTATAAAAATATTTAAAGATTTTTTTTCAATTTTTAACATTTCAAATAATTATTAATAAAGAAAATTTTTAAAAAATCTAAATAAAATTTTAATGATTTTATAACGATTATTAACTATTTTAATTAAAAATTTTATTTTTTCATTTTTTTGAAAAAAATTTTCTTTATATTTTTTTAAAATTTTCTTTATTATTAATTATTATAAAATCATTAAAAAATTATTTATTAATAATCATTATAAAATCTGAAAAATCTGAAAAATTATTTTTTTCAATTTTTTTAAAGTTAAAATAATTAGAAATTATTAGAAATTTTGAAAAATCTTATTGTTTTAAATTTTTTCTTTAGAATTTTTTTTCAAAGTTAACAAAGGGGTTATTTTATATTGTTGTCTAACAATATAAGAGTTGGATAGAGGGGTTGCAACGGTATTTTCAACATAATATGAGATACGTGGTGTATTTGACCTATTATATATATATATATATAGGAGAAAGGAGAATTAATGTTTGATTCCTGCTAGTTCTGAATTCGGATATGAAAATATTCTTACAACTATTCGTACTTGAATGAGTGGGTTTCTGAGAAGATGCTCCCAAACTGACAATAGTTAACATCTAAGTATGGCCAATCTCATTTAACATCCTTACATTGAAGTAATGGAGCATCCTCGTAAAGTGTACGAATTAAAGAGAGACAAATAAATGAAACAGAAGACATGAGTCTCAAAAC